AAGCCAGGCCCCCCCCCCGCCAGGCCAGCCCAGCCATGATGGGATCAAGTCCGGCTGGGATCCCAGCCCTGAACTTCTCTGGCCTCCCAGCCCAGCAAAAAGCTGGTTTGGGACAGGCTCTTGTGCACCGGCCGCCGCTCCCAGCCCTCTCCCGGGAGGTCTCCTACTCACAGCCAGGCTGGAGATCAGCTCGTGCTCCCGCACCCGCGAGCAGCTACGGCCCATAAGCCAGCACCCCTACACCTCAGAGCAGCACAGCCATGATGGGATCAAGTCTGGCTGGGATCCCAGCCCTGGGAGGAACTTCTCTGGCCTCCCAGCGCTGCGAAGATGCGTAGGGACCAGAGAGGAAGAAAGGTTTGGGGTCTGTGCCTCCCTGGGTAGACGGGAGCTGGTACCTGCTGTTGCAGCATGAAGCCAGTTTTGCATCAGTAGGTGCATGGGCAAAGCCCACCTTGGAGTGCAGCTCTGGGAGGAGTGCTGGGCTCTCCTGCCACTCCTGGAGTTTATGGAGACACACACAAGCTTTACAACGCAAGACAGCAGAGCGGTCAGTGGGTCGCAGCCCATCCGCAGCCCCCAGCCCTTTCCCCATCTGCAGTCTGCCTCAGAGGTGACTCGCTCTGTTGAACATCAGCCATCTGGGCTCCGTGGTGGGCAGCATCCTGCCCTGCTCCTCTGTGGCCATCAAAGGCTGCAGCTCCTGCTGCTCAGCGCCATCCGGGCTGCTGTCACTTTGCGACCGGCCACCCTTAGAGACATGGCTGGGGAACTGGAAGCAGGAGCTCTGCCCCGGCATCGCCTGGCTCGCAGACTGGGGTTGCTCTTCCAGCACAGGGCAGGCGAATCTCCTATGCTGAGGTCCACTCTCGATGCCTGGGGGGGAAGCGATGCTCTCCAAGGAGGAGATGCTTTGGTTCCACGCCTTCTGCATATCCACTGGCACAATTTTGGTGGTCTCCGAGGAGACGTAAACAGCCAGATCAGCCTGGTCTCCTTTCCACGGCAGCTCCTTCTCTGCCAAGGTGGGCGATGGTGGGATGATGCAGGGGCTGGGGCAGACATCCAGGCTGCCTGGGGATGCAGAAGGAGGGACAGTGAGAGGGATCTTGCACAGCTCTTGCTCTCTCCCTGGGCCCTGCAAACATTGCAGAAACGACCACTACCAAATGGCCAGCTGGCCCAGGGATGCAGGAGCCACCAGGGAGGCTCTGCCGTGCCTCCAGAGCCACAGAGAAAAGTGATTCTCCCATTCATGCTCTGCTGACTTTGGTTTTGCCCAGACCAAGGCAACCTTGCTCCTCAGGTGGAGGAAGGACAAGCTACCCAACAGCAGCTGCCCTGGCGTGGGAGCATCGGTGCCTACCAGGAGTTGTCTTTCCCTGCAGGACCTCATCGGTGGCTCGAGCGATGAATACAATCCCTTCATCGTCCTCTCTCTCTGTCTCCGAGCTATCGCTCTCATCCTCCTCTGAACTGACCATCACCAGGACAGGAGCTGCAGCCAGAACTGTGGGGGACTGCACCCATGGGAGAAGGAAGGACTGACCCATGGGAGAAGGACGTGGTGCTAGCGTAACCCTGGGTGCTGTCGTGCCACCAAGCTGGCAGTGGGCAGGCACAGCAGGCTGCTCCCATCCCACCCCAACAGGTCCCCTTGCCAGGACCTGCAAACCTCTCCTGCCACCGGCCTTACCTGTCTCCTGCCAGGGGACGTTTCTGTGCGTCTTCCCATTGGGTGCGTCGCTGGTCAGAGAGATGTTCTTCTGCGAAGGAAGAGGGACCGGCTGGGACCTGCCCTGTGCAAACCCCTAACCCCGACCCAGGCAGCCCTGCAAGCCAGGGTAATCCCAGGGACACAGATTCCCACCCCGGCTAGATGCCAGCTGGCAGTCAGTGGTTCCTAGTCCTTAGGCGTTGCATCTCCATGGCCCCACAATAAACAGCTCAGCTGCAATGGCTTCAAGAGTCTCCAAACGAGAGAAGACACCTAAGGCCCAGTTTAAGGCGCAGTGCCCCACTTCTGAGCCTGGATCTGCACTGATGTTCAGGCTACTTTACGCTGAGTGCTCTTGGAAAACAAACGTGGGGCTCCTCCAGGGCTCGGGACAGCTTTGCCCAGGGAAAAGCCACCCCGCAGCAGCGCTGGCATGGTGGGAACACGTGGACACGCGGGGCCCGGGTCCCCACA